GATTCACGGCGGCCGTGTTAAATATTCACGTAGCCGGCGCGGCGGCGGCGAGCGATAACATTTAATCTACATATTACATAATTGAATAATTCACACGGGACACAAATAAAATATACGTAAATACAACAATAATATGACAAAACAGGTGATTGTGTGTGTGTGTGTGTGTGTGTGGTCGTTGGTACTATGGCGCGTTGTCGCGGCGGCGACACAAGCTCAAGAGCATCCACAAACTCCATGTAAAAGTATATCAATAACCAACACACAATGGCCAATTAGAGACAATAGAAACACTAATTTATCTAGTCAACCTACTATTGTGCAAAGCATAAAAAATATTGAAGAATTTAAAGGTAATTTAATTAACCTATAAAGGTTAAGAACCTTGTAACTAAAGGCTGGATTTATATGCATTTTAAATTGTAAACAAGCACTAAAAAAAGTCAAAATATGCAAGAAAAAAATTCTATTCTATTTTATATTAATTTTGCAGTGATAATTACTTATTCATTTTATTAAAATTTTCATAAATAAAAATTAAGATGTATAATATATTAATATAGCAGATATGCAATGCAAAAATTTAATTTGTTAAATTGTAATTTAATTTTTAATCATTGATACATTGTAAAAATTTATTAAATTTAAATAGTAGGTAGATGATACATTAGTGATATAAAATAAATAGGACCTATGTCCTATAATCTGTGTTTTTTGTTTAAATATGCAAAAATATGCAGAACATGCACTAATGAGGGAATATGCAAAAATATGCAGTATAAAATGTTGATATTTACATCATTCAAGTAATGATTTGTGGACAATCATTTACTGCATGTATAAATTATGATGTTGTAGATTACAACATGCATTTTATGCAAAATCCGGCCTTTACTTATAACTAACTTAGGGTTTATTGTTGTTATTTATAATCTTAAATATTTCTTCTTTTTTTGTTCATTTATATAAATTAATTAATTTTGTGTTTCAGAAGGAGGCATAAGACATTCAAATGTAACAGATACTATCCTTTACATGATTGCAAAAGATAACATGCCTCTGAATGCAATTGAAAAACCTGGGTTACTTAAACTTTTAAAAGTAACAGTGCCTCTATACAAACCACCAAAACGGAAACATTTAACCAAATTGATGGATCAAAAATTTGAAGCAATGGTCGTAATAGTTAAAATACAGTTAAATAAAATAAAATGTATGTCATTAACTGCAGACATTTGGACAGATTCACATACCACTACATCATATTTAGGAATTACTGCACATTTTATAGGTTTGAACTTTTCCTTAGCATTTTAAAGTTTATTTATTCAATAAATCATATTTATATTTTGTTTTAGATGAATCCCGACTTCTTTCAATTACACTTGGACTGGCAGCATTGGACAAATCACACACAGCATCTTATATCTCTGAGAAGTTTGAAGACACATTGAACTTCTGGGAGATATCAAAGGATACTATCATTGCAGTTATTACAGACCATGCTAATAATATGGTAAAAGTTGTGAAAGATAGCTTTGGGAATAATAAAGCCTTACAATGCTATGCCCATTGCTTAAATTTATTGGTCGAACAAGCGCTCCAAGATTCACCAAATATATCTCTCATAATAGACAAAGTAAAGAAGATTATAACCTACTGCAAACAAAGTGTTAAGGCAGCTGATGTTATTAAAAAAATTCAAAAAAGTAATAGAAAAACCGAAAGTACAGTATTAAAACTTATACAGTCCTGTCCCACAAGATGGAATTCTATTTTTTTCATGTTGGAAAGATTTCTTGTGCTATCAGAAACTATATCAAGAGCATTATTACGACTAGAAAACTCACCAACGATGTTAACTAGACCAGAGTTATCAGTCATATCTGAAGCTGTAACTTTACTTCGTCCATTTGAACTAGCAACAAAAGAATTTTCATATGAAATGCACGTAACTGCAAGCAAAATAATACCATTACGAACCATGCTCAGTAAAAAAATTTACGATATTAAATGTTCTACAGATGAAGGTAAGCAGTTACAGGAGCGATTAAAAATTGAATTTGCTAAACGTTTTGATAAAGTAGAAAAAAATATGATACTGGCCACATGTACCATTATGGATCCACGATTTAAACGCATGCATTTCAGTGGTCCACTAAATGCAGCAAATGCTGTGAGTGAAGTTCAAAAACAGATTAAAAAAATAACAAATGAACCTGTCCCAGAAGATCCAGTTATCAATGTAACCACTCTGCAAGATACACATAGCTTATGGGGAGAGCATGATATGGAAGTAAACACTCAAGCATCAACATCAAGTTCAAACTCTGATGAAAATGTGTTAACTGGACTGAAACTGAATTTGATTACAAATGTAGAAAATCGTTCTTCTTCACCAATAGAGTATTGGGAAAGTTCTTCATATCCAGGTCTATCGCAAGTGGCTAAGAAATATTGTTGTGTTCTTGCATCATCTGTACCGTCTGAGCGGTTATTTTCGAAAGTTGGTAATATACTTACTGATTGTCGATCAAGATTACTTTCTAAAAGGCTATTCAAACTGACTTTTTTATCATCTATACCTGACGAATATTGGAATAAAATAAATTGAATGATATTACTACTAATAATAATATTAAAACCCTACCTATAAATCTTTGGTCCCAGGTAGAAAGGGCTTAAGTCAATTTTTCACAAAATTTTTTTTTTCAATCGATTTATAGCTTAATTTTTGCTGATTTTTTTGGTCCAATTGGCATAAGTCAGTGAAGAATATTACTCATATTATTGAATAAATAAATAAGGCATATCTAAACATAATCGTTTCTACGTTCGGT